CACTTATCTTCACTATATATACACAATTTTATGGGTAATTTATTAATCAAGGCATTGAACTTGATATATATGTATGTGTGTGTGTGTGTGTGTGTGTATATATATATATATATATTTAATTAACAGAGAACTTCTATAGGAGCCCTGGCGGCATAGTGGGTTTCCCATTGGGCTAAAAATCACAAGGTTACTAGTTCGAAACAACCAGCCACTCTATTGGAGAAAGATGTGCTTTTCTGCTCCTGTAAAGAGAATTAAAGTCTCAGCAGTCCGTGGAGGCAGGTCTACCCTGTTTTATAGGGTTGCTATGAGTCAGAATTGACTACAGTCACTATGAGTTGAAATCAACTCCAGAGCCATGAGATTTTGATTGACTTTGGCCAAATATTTCCCACATGTTTCCAACTCTGAATCTTGGTACTCCTTGAAATTACACTAGTCTAAAACTTGCCTTAGCAGTCATTTAACTATAGAAAAGCAGCTGTCAGGTTGCTCCTGAGTTTTCCTTCTTTAGACCAACATTTCAGGGTTTTCAAATGTTCCATGGAATTTAGTTTGAAGGCAGTTTATTCTCATAGCCCACGTATTCCCCTTCTCTTTCTTTTCAATCTTTCAGTCTCTTGGTGTGCTCAATGTATATCCCTTGTCTTTTACTTTTAAGTGGTAGTACAGGAAACTGGACACAATGTTTTGTTTTTGTCTCCCCACAATCTCAACCGTAGTGCTCGTTTATAACTTTAGTTTCCTCACATCATTCTTTTTTTAAAAAACATTTTATTGGGGCTCATACAACTCATCACAATACATAGATCAATTGTGTAAAGCACACCTATACATTTCACATCATTCTTTTAACTCACTTTGAACCTCTCCCTCCCTCCCTCACTGCCATGAATTCTGACTCATAGTGACCAGATAGGACAGAGTAGGACTTTATATCTACTTTTCACCGAAACGTCTTAAATCTTTTTACACATAGCACTGAAAGCCTTATCTCTTTGCTTCTGTAACGACTGTACATCTAGTGCAAAGAGGTTTTTCCACATGCGTTCACCATCATCTGAGTTTGACCCTCAGGAGGGTAAAATATATAAAAATCTCACCGTAGTAAAGTTTGCACCAGATCAGGTAAACTAAAAAAACTCACTGCCATCTAGTTGATTCTGACTCATAGCAACCCTCCAGGGAGCTCTGGTGGTGTAGTTGGTTATGAGATGGGCTGCTAACTATAAGGTCAGCAGTTTGAAACCACAAGCCAGCTTGCAGGAGACAGATGAGGCTTTTCACTCCTGTAAAGATTTGCAGTCTCGGAAACCCACAGGAGCTGTTCTCTTCTGTCCTGGAAGTCACTGCGTGTCAGGGTTCACTCGGCAGTGAGACAAGGTTAGGAGCCTAGTCAAAAACTTTGAGACATTCACTTTTCTCAGAACATTTTATTATCTACCATCTTTAGTCTCTTTGTAGATGAGGATTTGGGGAACTGGAGAAATATAGAAGGGTTTTTAGGAATGGGACACCTGTGGAACTATCTGACTATCGTGAATTTCTCTTTTAGAATATACATCCATATTTAACATTGTGTGCATTGTGTTTTTATGTGTTAATTAGATTTTTCATGGAAACAGTAATATCTTAAATCTACCTTCAACATTAATCTCTATAAATCCACCCTTAAAGTGGATATAACATATCATCTTTCTAAAATTTTATAGCATTATTCCACTACAAAATAAACAATGAATGGAACTGAAGGTATTGATTCAAAAGAATGTGGAGAATATGAAGATGACTTTGAAAAGGATCTGGAGTGGTTAATTAATGAAAAAGAAAAGAGGAGTGACAGCGTAAATGAGGTATATATAAATTGCCAAAAGAGTTTATTATAGTTAAATTAGCAAATAAAGCAACTCCTCAGTAAACATGATCTTTCTGCTAATATTTGAAAATGCCTGGATTACTCTTCAAGAGAATGAATATAGTAAAAAAAGGAAAAGGTCAAACACTGAGATTTAGGGATACTTCCTGGAAAAAGTGGTTCCAGTAAAAATGCTTGTTTATTACTTATTAAGGAAAATGAGCTAGTTCCTGGATTATGGGAGATTTTGTCTCTTTGCATGCATGCACATGCTCATATGTATGCATATGTGTATTGTGTTCAGGTGTGTGATATGTATATGCTTATCTTTTGAATGGGCCAGGTGTATTGACTTATCAGACATCTAGAAGTGCTGTGCAAATTATGAAGAGAAGTCTGCTGACAAAGATGACCTATCAGCAAGGGGAAGAGGAAGAGACTCTAGGGGACTGAGTCATAGCTTACTATGGCGCTGTTTGAGGAGGGAGAGAACTGTCTAATAGAAAGGGGGGAAAAGTTTATTGTAGAGATAAAGTGTTCAGTAAGTGAAATGTATGTATGAGGAAGCTTCAAAAAATTCATGGAAAATTTGAATGAAAAGATAATGGAAATTTCCACAACTTTTTGAAGTCGCTGAGTATGTGGAGAAAGTGGTCAGTAAACCAAACAAAACCAAACTGACTGCCATCAAGCCGATTCTGACTCATAGTGGCCCTATTGGACAGAAAGCTGCCCCTTTGGGTTTCTGGGCCTACAAACCGTTAAGGGAGCTAAACTGTTGACCTCGTGGGTAGCACCCGGCACAGAACCCACTGTGACTAGGGCTACTTAATTAGAAACAGCAGTTATAGAAAGGGGTTTGTGATGAGATAATACTGGTTTATGGCTCATGTGGAATTAAACTTACATTAAGTGGAAGGCCAGGTTGTCCTATGGGCCATTAGCCTGGGTTATTTGGCGTCTCTGAGGATAGCTGAGTAAGAAAAATCTGACCTTGAAGTAAATATGAACCTACAATGTGGACTTAGGTTCTACAAACAACTGCAACAATAATAATTTGAAAAGATTATCAAAACTTCAGATGATTAGGACTTGACTAGTGGTTGTGGAGAGAAAGGTTCTGCTGCTAGCACAAGATGCTGTTTTAAAGTATCTATTAGAAGGAGGGGAAACATAGGGGAATTGTTCTTCAAAAAGTACAGGTGGAGAATAATTTATAGGGGCCAGAATGTTAAAATAACATGCTATTTATAGTTACCTTATAGTGAATTAGCATAAATATTTTAAAAATCCATGTAGCACCTAGCAACATCAACTTAGAGTTATATTTCCTTATAGTATTATTGTCACATATATGTCTTTCCCTTGGAGAGGTGCACATATATTAATTAATGTGAATTAAATTATTAGGTGTGAAATATGAGCAGGGAACACTTAGATTAGCCCATTTATAAAATAAATTATGAGTAGGAAAATCCATTTTGAATTTCCCACACATAAATGGACAAAGGGTGCCCATTGTGACTGAAAAAGAGAGCCTTACATTCTTCTTCTGTTTTTTTAAAGGTGGCTTCTGATAAGGAAGAAACGATTAGCCAAGAATTAAAAGAGAATGCAGCAGAAATAGAATGCACCAAGCAGCTTTCCGATTCTGATGAATTCTTGAATGATGAAGGGTCATCAAGAAAAAATGACTTCATTTCTGTACCAAGAATTCAACCCTTGGATCCCGTATCAGATTCAGATAGTGAAGGCTCTTTCCAGGAATCGAGAACTGAAAGCCAGAAAGACCTGGAAGAAGAAGAGGATGAGGAAGTTCGGCTATATATTATGGAGAAAATTATACAAGCCAACAAACTTCTACAGAATCAGGAACCTGTGAATGATAAAAGGGAGCGAAAACTTAAATTCAAGGACAAATTAGTTGATCTGGAGGTTCCTCCACTGGAAGACACTGATACTTACAAAATCTGTTTTGAAAATGAAAGTAATATGTCTGGAAAACTGTCACAGCTATGCATTTCCAGTGAAATTATACAAGAAAATGTCCTCCTATCATTTGACAATGAAGCTTGTGAAGAAAACAAGAATAGGAAGATACTTATAGAGAGAGATGGAAAGTTTGAACTTGTGAATTTACAAGACATTGAGAGTCAGGGTTTTTTCCCACCTATTCATAATGCAGATAACGAACCTCAGCAGGTATCACCCAGGCCTCCCCACTCACCTATCAATGGGGTTATGAAAGAAGAGCCAATAGCAAAGATCCATGCTGTTGCTCACTCTTCAACAGGAGAGATTCTGGCCTATGTCCCTCAGCCGCCAACCAATCCCAAGACTCGTCCAAATTCTGCTGTCAAGCCAGAGAGAAGGAAAGGGCGTGGGAAGTCTAATTACATGACCCAATCTACAAGTATATCTCCAGTGGCTTCAACCTACTGCCTTTCCTCTCGACAGAAAGAGCTGCAAAAACAGCTCGAACAAAAGAGAGAAAAGCTCAAGCGAGAGGTGAGAAAGCATAAGCGAACCATCTGTTCATAGTGGAGTTTTGTCAGTTCACGGCTTGCAAATGCAGTCAGAATTGAAATGGCTCTCCACGTGTTAGACTGTTGCTCATTTGTCTCATTTGTCTGTGATTGGAGTAAGTGGTTAAGCGTTAAAGATGTGTTTCTGGAACAAACACTAGTGAGTACCTTGACTCAATCTTGCAAGGAACACCAAGCACAGTAATGAATGCCCTGTGCTAGAGCTAGAGGTTTCAGCGAGGACTCGATCTGACCCCTTGTTTCAAAGGTGAGGCTCAGAGACCTAAACTGAGTGCTGAAAGTCCTCCTTACTATGTGCTAGGAAGATGTGTGACACCATGCGGTGTCAGATGGGACGCTGAATGCATAGGGTGCGGGGAGGTTAGGTTCCAGCAAGTAGACTGTAGACTTGGCCTATAACTCTCTGATTTATATATATGTTGTGTGCGTGTGTATTCATCTGTGTATGTCACACATTTGTGCATATAATTATTTGATTTGATTTCATTGTATTCTAGGAATAGAGTCTAATAATCCTCACAAATTGTTTCCAAAATGCTATATGGGATCTCAAATTGATTTTTTGTGGTTTTTAGTTTTTTCTTCTTAGATGAAACTGAATGTATTTTATAAATGAGAATTCTAAGTTCTTGAAGTGATTACTTTTCTCTAAATTACTAAATCAGTGTCCCAGTTCTCTGTCTTACCAGATCTAATTGTGTTAAGCATATATGATGACTTACCTAAATACTAAGTTTCAGCATAAGCAGAAGTTGGTAGAATTTTACCATTGGAAGAGGCCTTAGGGATCGTTTTACAGCTAGGAAAATTCTAGAAAGATTAAACAACTTTACTAAAGTCACTCAGCCTTTTAGTAGCGGAGTCAGAAATAAAAATTCTCATTCTCGTGGCATTCACTGGGATGCAGTGTGTCTTCCATCTAATGAGGTTTCTGGGAAATTTTCTGGCACCCAAATCACCAATTCACATTATATAAAAAGATGAAAAAAGCAATAAGAAAATGTAGCCTAAAGGACACCAAGGCAGAAATGTGTGAACTGTTACATGTTTACAGACTTCCTTGCTAAAATTTGAACTCCAGCATTCTTGGTTCAGATATATAACAATGCATAAGAGGATCTGTTAACTCAGATTTTTATGACAGAACAAAAAAATTGTTGAAAATGACTCAGCTATATGTTTGTTGTACACCCATGTGCATACCTGCACACTTCCATAAGAGTTATTGTTTTATATAAATATTGTGCTTGTTGCTACTAAACAGTGGTAACCTGTAACTGGTTGGACTGGGGCGTATCTGCTTTTCTTGTGATCTTTCCTGGGGCCTCAGGCTCTCTCTTGTGGACTCTGCTCTTCCCTGGTCAGGATCTCTTCCCTTATATGCTCATTAAAGGGTGGTCATTAAATGCAAATGCTTTTAACCCTTTGAAGATAGTTTCAGGGGAAGTCTCTCAATTCTTGGCTCAACTAAACATTTACTAGCTTTGGCCTGCTGTGTTCTGTTTTTCTATCCCAAGTGGATAATTTTCTTTTTTTTTTTGGTACCTGCATTTCTGTGTAATATGCACAAATAGTCCCTCCAGAAAGAGACTCATTTTGTCAGATATATTTATGCAAGGCTTCCAAAATTCATTTTGTTACAAGGAAATATATAAATGAATGTAAAATGTAATTGTTCTTTCAAAAGATATATTTTATGTCTTCAATTTGGTAGAATTTTTTTTCCTCCCTACTTTTTTGTTAGTCAAACAAAGAAGGAGGCACTTTGAATTTTATTATTTTGCAAAATTTTAATTTATGTGGTAAAGTTTTAGGATTGGAAAAGACTTAATTGGTTGATAAAACTTTTGTACAGATGAGAACTCTTAGGCAGAGGCTAAGGTTCAGTGATGTACCCACATTGCCGTAGTATGATCACCGAGTGGTGTGATTGTTACTCAGATCTACTACTGGTGTTATTTCCACTACGTTAGTCCCAGTAACTATTCTACAGCTCTATGTACCAGAGACTTTTTAGTTAAGAGCCTATTTTTTATATGAATCTTTTTAATTGGAACATAGACCAATGTTTTCTGCTTGTTGACTGCCTGATGTCTTCTTTGATGAAATATCTGTTCATGTCCTCTGCCCAGTTTTAAATTGGATTAGCTGGCTTTTTCTTCTTGACACGTTGCAGTTTTCTATAGGGTTTAGGGTTAGCATTTTGTACAATATCTTATTTTGACTTCTTTTCATTTTAACAGTTTCATGGACATATAATTTACATATCATATAGTTTGATGATTTAAACATATTAAAAGGCGTTGTGAGATCACTTTTAGAACACTTTCAATCAATTGTAGAAGCCTTCTTCCTTGTACTCTTTATTATTAGCGTCCCATGAAGTATTGCTAAACTAAGTCTCGCTTATATTTAGTATGCTTATAAGTTTAGTATGCACCTTGAAATTATTCCAGAATTTCCTTTCACAACCACAGTGCCACTTAATAAATTTTAAAATAATATTCAAAGACAGTCATATTGCTTCAGCAGACACTGGTGCTTTTTGAATATGGTGATGGTGTTGTTTTTGCATAACTAATTTGAGGAGCTGAAATCAAAAGTAAGTAAGAAGGAGAGATTCAAGATATTCCTAAAGAGCAGGTGTTCCTACACAACCTTATTTGTGTATATATAATTATATATTTTATCTCTACAGTTTAATCTTAAAAGATCTTCATTGTTTTCCCTAGGCAATTTAAGGACTTGATTTTATAAGGAGGACTAATTCTCATAAATTTTTGAAGGGAATCCTAATTTCAGATCTCAAAATGTTTCTCTCTACTCTGATAATTGATATACAGTATTATTAATGTATTACTAATATATATATATTTCCTACTAGGAGGAACAACGGAAAGTAGAAGAAGAGAAAGAAAAGAAAAAGGAGAATGACATGGTATTTAAAGCATGGTTACAAAAGAAAAGAGGGCAGGTCCTAGAAATGAGGAGAATTCAGCGAGCAAAAGAAATAGAAGATATGAACAGTAGAGTAAGTAATATTTCCTTATGAAAAATAATGTTATACAGCTATGAAAGCAGCATTTATTTACAGAAGGTAATTGGAATATAGACCAACAGCCTATGGAAGATACAGCAAAAATGATCCAGGAACTACCCCTGCATGATATAACATGCAGAAAACTATACAGTTAAGTTCTAGAAAGTCTTTTTTAAAAGTAGATGATTCTCGTTTTATTTAAATATTTTTCATAGCACAGAAGAAAATGGAAAGCTACTAATTAATTATTTTTAAGGTAGTTTAGCTTTGCTATTCAAATAGGGCTAAGATAGCTTACGTGGTCTCTGTTAAGAGTAGGGCTAAATAAACCCTACATCAAGTTGCTAAATCAAAGACAACAAATTAGTTAATTAAAAATTAAAGCAAAATTTAAGTTCTCCATAACATTACAACTTAGGAAAAATACATATTATCTAGTGCAGCTACAACAAATACTACAGGTGGGTGACTTTAACAACACATTTATTTTCTCAGTTTAGGAGGCTAGAAGTCAGAATTCAAGATGTCATCTCCAGAGGGAGGCTCTCTCTGTGGATTCTGGAGGAAAGTCCTTGTCTCTTTTGAGATTTTACTCCTGGGAATCTTCATGTGGCTTGGCATTTCTCTTCACTCAGAGCTGCTTCCTGGCTTGTTTGTTTAATCTTTTAAAGAAAATCTTTTAAACAAAAAGATTGGCTCAAGGTACACTCTACACTAATTCTTTCTCAATATAATAAAGGCAACCCATTCCCAAGTAGGATTATAACAAAAAACATAAAGGTTAAGCTTCAGAATATATTTTTAGCATGCCCAACTCAATCTATAACAAATATGTACCTATATACTCGTGCATGAGCCAAGTTTCTCAGCACATTTTTAATGCAGTTTTGTGGTAAAATTAGGTGCGTTGGTTGAAATTCGGGTCGACTTATACTCGAGTATATGTGGTAAGTAAAAATCGGTAAGTCAATTCTCAGTCCTTCAAATATCTCCCAGTAATAATCACTTTTAATGGTGCATTGAGTTCATCCCAACCCATAGCAACCCTATGCACAACAGAACACAACAAGGCTATCCTCACAATTGTTCTATACCTAAATCCATTTTTCACAGCCTCCATGCCATTCCATCTTGTTGAGGGCCTTTCCCTTTTTTGCTGATCCTCCACTTTACCGCGCATGATGTCCTTCTCCAGAGACTGACCTCTTCAGACAATATGTCCAAAGTGCATAAGAAAGGTTGGCCATCCTTGCTTCCGAGCAGCACTCTGGCCATACTTCTTCCCAGACAGATTTGTTTGTCCTTATAGCAGTCCATAATACTTACAATATTCTTCATCAACACTACAATTAAAATACATCAATTCTTCCAGTCTTCCTTATTATTCAATGTCCAACTTTCACTTGCAGATGAGCCCATTGAAAATATGGCTTAAGTCAGGTGCACCTTAGTCCTTGAAGTAACATTTTTGCTTTTCAATACTCTAAAGAGGTCTCGGAAGAACCAATGCAAAACGTCTTTTGATCTCTTGACTGCTGCTTCCATGGGCATTGATTGTGGATCCAAGCAAGACAAAATCCTTGACAACTTCATGACAATTTATCATGATATTACCTATTGGTCCAGTTGTGAGGATTTCAGTCTTCTTTACATTTAAGTCATAAACCATACTGAAGGCTGCAATCCTCGATCTTCATCAGCAAGTGCTTCAAGTCCTCCTCCCTGTCAGCAAGCACGATTGTGTCATCTGCATATCAAAGGTTGTCAATAAGTCTTTCACCAATTCTAATGCCACAATCTTCTTCATATAAGCCCGCTTTTCAAATTATTTGCTCAGCACACAGATTAAATAAGTATGGCGAGAGGATGTAACCCTGATACACACCTTACCTGATTTTAAGCCATGCAGTATTCCCTTGGTCTGTTCACACAGCTGTCTCTTAATCCATCTACACATTCATTACACATGAGCAAAATGGAGTATTCTGAAATTACCATTCTTCTCAAGGTTATGATCCACACAGTCAAATGTCTTTGCAGAGTGAATTAGACACAAGTAAACATATTTCTGGTATTCTGTGCTTTGACCTAAGATCCATCTGACATCAGCAATGATATCCCTTGTTCCACATGCTCAGGTGAACCCATCCTTAACCTCTGGTAGCTCTCTGCCAACGTACAATGATGCAACCATTGTTGGATGATCTTCAGCAAAATTGTACTTGCATCGTGAAATGGTGGAATGCCAACTAGTGTTTTTATGGTACAGTGACTATGTATTCTTTCCATCTTATTTGGGTGCTTCCTGCACTTGTCAATATTTTGCCCCTAGAATCTTTCAATATTGCAACTTGAACCTTGATTTTTTTTTTCAAAACCATGTTATTGAGAGCTAATACAGATATGTCATTCCATAATTCATTCACATCAAGCAGTATTGTACAAGTGCTACCAGAATCAGTTTAAAAACTTTCTCTTCCTTCTTGAACTCCTTGATATCAGCTCTCCTTTACCCCCTCTTTTTCACTGTACCTCCCAGGAACACTTATTTTGTCATCTCTATAGATTCATCAATTTTGGGTTTCATATACCAAAAACCAGAAAAACATGACAAAATTTCAAGAGAGCTACCCGCAGTTACAAAATACATCAGAAATAAATCCCAATAAGGAAAAAAAACACAGAAAACGTTGAAAACCAGGTCATGCCCAGCGTGTATCAGTGGGGGGATCAAGTGACAAGGTTATAACCATTCAAGTCAGGTTTATCATTTTTATCTCCTATAGTCATCCCTCCAACACTCCTATTTGGTGGCTAGTTTATCCCCATTCCTCCATAATGGATATAGGGAAATCACCAGGGGCTTATTTCCTGTGTAGATTTCACAAATGTATTTTGGGTTCCACTGTCATCCATAACCTCCTGCAAACTGGATTCTCAGTTTAGACTCTGGTACTACTCCCTTCTTTCATTTAAGATTCTATGATTTACAATCCTTGGGTCACTGATGATGGTGTGCTTCTTCCATGTGGATATAGTTGACATCTCACTTAGGTGCTTCTTTGGAAACAAGCCTTTAAGACCCCAGATGCTATCTGAAAGCTCTGCACCATCTAATTTCTTTATCACACTTTGCTATAGCACCCATCTCTTTTGTGTACCCTTCAAGCAGGGTACAAACAAATTGCTCTTAGATTGGAGCTAGGATTTAGTGTGAGTCCAGAATCCATTCCTGGGTTTTATTTATCTGACTTTGGCTCCCCTTAGAGATCTCCTTGTTAATTTATGGTAAAGAGTCTTATTGATCAATTCCCTAGAGCATAAAGATCTTTTGTCAATATTATTGTTGATTAGCCTTTGATACTAACTTTTAAAACACTATTGAGAGAGGATTATTGGGCTAGTATAGGCTAACTACATATTTCAATACCTGAATTATTAACTTGCATAGAATAAATCCTATGTGGCTGTATGGTATAACAAACAATGGGAGTTGGTTGTCATGCAACTTTTTCATTAATATTCACTGACAATGTCAATCACAGGTCTGCCAGAATAATACATATATCTTAATACAGCAAGTAGGGCATTGATGTACTTAATCAATGTTGTCTGTCTACCAACAGTTCAGTAAACTTGGTATAGCTGTCTTCAGCTTCTCCAAACACTATGAATTTTCATTCAGAAGTTCTCAGGTTACAGGTGTGTTTGAGGTAGAGTTCAGTTCACCTAGTAGAGTTTCCACATTGGATCCCTCTGGTGTGGCCTTTTTAGCATGTGTGCACCTTGAAGATACAGAATTCAATGCCCCAGTGTTTTTTGGCACTTGGCCTGGATCCCTAGGCTGTGTCTAGAAAATTGGGCAAATTTGGTTTATTGGATGCATATTACCAGGTACGTTAATCTGGGTAGACTAGAGAAACAAGTTCGTAGACACTCATATTTGTATAAGAAAGAGCTTTACATACAAGAGCAATTGAATATTGAGAAAGCATCCCAGCCCAGTCCAGATCAAGTCTGTAAGTCTTTTATTAGCCCACATGTCTGATAACAATTTATAAATTCCTCTTCAGACTCATGAAACACATGCAATGATGTCGAATGCAAGGTCACAGGCCAGTGGGTGGAAAGTCTTGTGGATCCAGTGGTGGTGTAAGCATCTCCGCACTGGCAGGGGTCTCCATGTGGCTTCTCCAGCTCCGAAGGCACGGGCTATATCAACATAGCACCCTTTGTCTTGTCAATAGAGTGTCTCTTAGGGAGTGAGCGTGTGTCCCACCTTCAAAGAACTATTTATCTCCTAAGCACCTCCAAATGAGGTCATCAAGCTGCAATCTGATTAACAGGCTAAACTCCACCCCTTCTCTCTTAATCCTCAAATTGACACCAGATTATGTAACTACCACAGGGATATTCCCTCCTTAGGGTCCTTACAAGTATTTTAGGGAGGATTGGGGCGGGGAGAAGCATAGCACATTGCTGAAGTGGCTGAGAATAGAGAAGGCTGAAGGACCAAGGAGAACACAACTGTGACTGGACTGCTGATACTTTCCTAGAGGATGATGGACATTTAGCCCTCTGACATCCAACCTAATGTAAAGTATTCATTGGGTATTTGTAATAATAAATGCACTCTGATTGTTCTTTTTGTGGATGATCAAAAGAATACATTTCTTCTGAATTGTATTCTTTAAAAACATGAGCCATGATGAGCATAATTTTTTTTTAAATTTTTATTTACTTAGCCATGAAGTTTCTTTTCCTCTAGCTACATTTCAAAGGTGTTTCAAAAGTGGATTTAAATGATTAATTGTATCATAACTAATAGAACACGAGTATTTTTATGAATTTTGTCTATATAAGTTGAGCTATACTATAATTAGTCAGTTAATTAATTTAACTTATTACATTGGGATAGAAGGTATATTAAGTTGATTACTTATGTGGGATATAGAGTACATAATATGAGTCACAGTTCCCAGGACCTATTTTACATTGACTGGAAAAATAAAAGCCTCCAGGCTGTAGAATTTTTATTACACTTTAAAGGAGAAATTATTAAAAATATGTCATTACATATTTGCTATGGACTTTCCATCTCGTTTAGTGATATAAGTAAATATTGTGTATGTATACATCTGTCTGTCTATCTATTGACATATACATAAGTGGGTAAGTAAAAAATTATTGCTTTAAGATCATAGAAGCCTTTATTAAATACAAAAACCAAAACATGAAGCTACTGTTTCTTGACATATTCTCCAACTAGGTCTATACCCATCTGAAGGTGGTGCGCCCATCCCTAAATTTTCCCTAAAGAATTCTGTGTTCGTCAACACGGCAATTTGGGTATTCTCAAGGGACCTACAGAGTGTTCCTCTGAAGGATTTTTTCTTAATGAATATAAAATTTGTAGCTGACAGTTTTATTGTTGTTGTTTTTGTTTTTCCATCCAGTACTTAAAGATGGTGTTCAAATGTTTCTGGTCTCTGTTGTTTAGAAAGGTTTGCTATTGTTAGCCGTCAAGTACTTGTGTACCTCACCTATGTTCAGAGTGGAACAGCTCCCTGGGGTTTTCCAAGTTGTGATCTATCAGAAGCAGATTGCCAGCCCTGTCTTGTGAGGCACTTCGGAATGGGTTTGCATCATCAACTTTTGGCTAGTAGTCGGGTGTTTGTTCCACTCAGTGACTCCTCTCCATTCAGTGTTCCTTTATATGATAATGTGTTCCCCCGCACCCCCTGTGGCTACTTTTTTGGTTTTGATTTTGTGCTTGTGATTTTAAAAAATCTTACCTTAGTTATGTTTTTCTGGGCTTCTTGTTGACATTTCCCACCAAATTTGGTGGGTTTTGAAATTCCAATATTGTTTTCTCATTTTCTTTCTCCTCTCCTCCTAGAAATCTTGTTTTACTACATTATTGCACATATTACTAAGATTCTGTTTACTTAAATATTTTTCTTTGCTGAATTTTCTTAATTTCTGTTAATCTGTATTAAAGCATTGACACGTTTTTTTCTTCTGCAGTGTCCATTGTATTCTTAAACCTATTCAGGATATTACAGGATTTTTGTTTTCCTTTTTTTTTTTTTTGCTAAGATTCTCTATGTTCATTCACAAGTTAATATTTTCCTTTAAATCCTTGACCATATTAGACCCATTTCAAAGTCCTCGTTTGTAAAATCAAATGTATTTTTCATCCAGGCTCCATTTCCATTGACCGTTGTTTACTCTAGGTTATGTCCGTTTCCTGGTTTTTGTATATCTTGTGACTTTTTATTTTGTAATGGACTTGGGGGATGCTGAATTGTAAGGAATCTAGCTTACATTGTTTCCCCTTAAAGGATATTGAATTTGATTCTGCCAAGCAGTTAAATTAGTATTGTATTCTCTTGATCCTGCATCTTATGGTTTTTAAGGATGTCTATATTGCATGGCCTTTACTCAGACATGGTTCTCCCAAAACATGGGCTCTCTAGCGTAGTAATCAGATGTTTGAGTACATAGTGAAGTATTCTCACTCTCCTGAAATTGTGTAACCTCTCCTATCTTCATCACGTGCAGATCAATAGCAACTTCTCTTCGCTAAACTTCACAGAATCTCACTCTGAGCATATACACCCTAGTCTTTATGAAGACATAAGGGTTGTCCCATATAGATGTCTTTCCAATACCTTTCCTCAATTCTGTCATCCCAGTAGCCCCAAAGTCCTATCTTTATTTCATCAGCCAAGTGAGACGGTTGATGGCTCTAGGCCAAGGAACACTGGTGGCATTGCTGGGTAATCGTTGGACCGATTAACCCAAAGTTGGCACTTCAAACTTAACAGTTACTCTGCTGGAGAAAGATGTGACTGTCTGCCCCCATGAAGAGTTACAACCTTGAAAACCATGTAAGGCAGTTCTACTCTGTCTAATCGGGGCCATTATGAGACTGAATCTACTTGATGGCAGTGGGTTTGAGGTTTTTTGTGACTTTCTCTGCTGTGTTTTCCCATCCTCTGTCCCACCATTCCACCATTCCCCCATTCAAAATTTGAAGCCTCATTTTGTCAGACCCTTCCTAACTACTACCAGTCATATTCTTCTCTTAAAGTTTTATGCAAATGTAAATAAAAAGTAGTACCACAAAATCATAGAAATGTTTATAAAACAAACATGGTAAAATGTGAAGACGTTATTTCTTAGCCTTTTTTCTATCTTGGTCAATACATGACTGAAGGTACTATCTCTCTAACTCTTCCCTGAAGGAGCCAGGGTGGCATAGTGAGTTAGGTGTTCTGCTGCTAACCACAAGGTCCAAAGTTTGAACCCACCAGCTGCTCTGTGGGAAAAAGATGATGCAGTCTGCTCCGGAAAAGATGTAGTCTTAGAAACCCTGTATAGAGTTGCAATGAGGCAATATTGATTTGATGGCAGTGGGTTGGTTTTGCTCAGGGGTTACCGCTGTGTAAAATAATTTTACTTGAATACTGCATATTATTTCCATATGACTTTTATTTATTTATTTTTTAAAAATCATTTTATTGGGGGCTCATACAACTCTTATCACCATATATACATACATACATACATGCATGCATATATGTGTCATGCACATTTGTACATATGTTGCCATCATCACATTCAAAACATTTTCTTTCCACTTGAGTCCTTGGTATCAGCTCATTCCCCCCCGCCCCTCCCCCCTCCCTCCCTCATGAATCCATGATAACATTTTCTCCCTTCAACCACTTTTCTGTTGTCCGTCCCCCTGGGAGGGAGTTTTATGTAGATCATTGTCATCGGTTTCCCCTTTCTCTCTCCACCTTACCCTTACCCTCCTGGTATCACTACTCTCATTATTGCTCCTGAGGGGGTTATCTGTTCTTGATTCACTGTGTTTCCAGCTCTTACCTGGACCAGTGTACACCCTCTGGTTTAGCCGGATTTAGTACAATTAGGGGAATGACAGTGGGGAGGTAGGAAGTATTAAAGAACTAGAGAAAAGTTGTATGTCTCATCAGTGCTATACTGCACCCTGGTTGGTTCAACTCTTGCTTGTGACCCTTCTGTAAGGGAATGTCAATTGTTTACAGATGGGCTTTGGGTTGCCACTCCACACTCCCCTTCATTAACATTGATAAGATTTTTTTTGTCCTGGGTCTTTGATACCTGATCCCATGGACACCTCATGATCACATAGGTTGGTGTGCTTCTTCCATGTGGGCTTTGTTGCTTCTTAGCTAGATGGCCACTTGTTTATCTTCAAGACTTTAAGACCCCAGAAGCTATATCTTTTGATAGCTGCCCATCATCAACTTTCTTCACCACATGTGCTTATGCACCCATTTTGTCTTCAGCGATCATGTTGGGAAGGTGAGCATCACAGAATGCCTGGCTATTAGAACAAAGTGTTCTTGCATTGAGGGAGTACTTGAATTGAGGCCCAATGTCTGTCTGCTACCTTAATACTTAACATATAGATATATGTACATAGATCTATTTCCCTATTGTTATATATAAATATATTTCCTTATGTATATGCCTGTATTTAGACTTCTATGAATGTCCTTTGCCTCCTGGTTCTTTCCTCTATTTCCTTTCACTTTCCTCTTGGCCCACTATCAGGTTCAGCCTTCATTTGTGTTTCAGTAATTCCTCTGGGCTACCCTGCACTTGATCAAGCCCCACCAGGCATCTTATGCCCTCCTCACCATCGATTTTAGATTACTTGCTCCTTTGTCCCTGGGTTGGTTGGCACCCCTTTTCCTTTCCTTACATAAGACTTGAAAGGAGCCAGATGACAAATGAATTCAATGCAGAATTTTCTGTCTGAGTGGTAATATATGTGGCAGTCTGTTTCTGTAAAGATGTCCAGTCTTGGAAACCTGATGCTTTATGGGGTTGCTCTGAGTCAGAATCAACTTCATGGCCATGAAGTTTACCACATGGTTTGCGTCCTGGTTGTGCAGATAAGGTTGGCATTATTACATAAAAAAAGATCAGTCACATGTGTATCCTTACAGGTTTCAGTAGGCAGGGTTTCAAAAAGAAGTTTGAGTTTATTTAAAGTTAACAAGGCTGTTTTCCTGTTAGCAGGAAAACAGAGATCCCCATCAAGCTTTTCGGTTGTGGCTTAAAAAGAAGCATGAAGAGCAGATGAAAGAGAGGAAGACAGAAGCGCTAAGAAAGCAAGAAGAATGCTTATTCTTCCTTAAAGGAGCAGAGGGCCGGGAAAGAGCTTTTCAACAGTAAGTGGTAAAGGCAGGGTATTTTCTAACCCACCCTTAGAGTCATTTCATAGGCAGACAAGTTTGCGGAGGTGGGGGGGGGGGAGTATTTTCTCTGTAACAGTGTGCCTCTTTTCCATTTGAAATCCAGGTATATTTAAATAGGTGAGATAATGCTTTAACTCCATAGTTTGCATCTGAATACCATCCTTTCTCAAATATTGAATATTAAAATATTAAAAATTTCAACATTAAAAGTAAATTATGGCCCTAGTGCTACCTTTTGATAGCCCACCACTTACTTATTTGTTTTCTTATTTGTTTCTTAGAGAAACAGACTAAAGCTTGATCAGAGCTTCTCCTACTTAGTTCTCAGAAACATTGAATAGATTGCATTACCGTTGAGTGCCTTTCTATAAAGTAGGCAGGTAAGCCAGAAGGAAAATCTGTGTGGAAGAAATGAAACCAAGATACAACTTGGGTAATTTGCAGCAAATTTATCTCTTTGCAGTTAACCTGGGTAAGACTGTTTTAGCTGACAGAAAACCTTGGGGGAGGATGATAGGGGTAGAAGGAGATAATGAGGTTTACTACTTTCTTTCTCTTTGTTTTAACAGACGCGGTAAATATGCATTGTTAAAAGAGAAAGGAGAGGGCATTTTTGCCACTCATCAGTTTTAGAGTTAGCACCATAGTGCACATTGTCAAGATGTTTCACTATTACTTATGTTTAATATTAAAATCTAAATTGAGATCATCCTATAAGCCTGGTCTGCAGTAGGCTGATTTTTATTAATGACCTCATCTACTGCTACCTATTCCATACCCATTTCCCCCCAATTGGCCTCTAAATGACTTACAGTTAACTTGTCTGAACTATAATTCAGGGCCTTACAACGTCAGGACATGATATTCTTAATGTGTTTTCTATTCTAGCGAAGTCACTCATTGTTTAGGGTTATTCTGGTGGGGGGGTGGATTCTCAATTCACACACACATGCATCAGATATCTTAATATACTGCTATTTTACCCAAACTAGATTTATACACTTTAATTTGATAGGATATAAATACTTTTCTGTCACTTCTTTAAAAAAAAATCATTTTATTGGGGGCTCATACAACTCTTAGCACAATCCATCCATACATCCATTATGTCAAGTACATTTGTACATATGTTGCCATCATCATTCACAAAACATTTGCTTTCTACTTGAGCCCTTGGTATTAGCTCATTTCCCCCTCCCCCTCCCTCATGAACCCTTGATAATTTATAAATTATTATTTGTTCATGTCTTACACTGTTTGATGTCTCCCTTTACCCACTTTTCTGTTGTCTACCCACCATGGAGGGGGTTATATGTCGATCCTTGTAATTGGTTGCTCCTTTCTACCCTACCTTCCCTCCACCCTCCCGGTATCACTACTCTCACCAGTGGTCCTGAGGGGTTCATCTGTCCTGGATTCCCTGTGTTTCCAGCTCTTATCTGTACCAGCTATCACTTCTTTTGATGCTTTTACACAGGCTTAATTTTCTATTTTAAAGAAGGACAATTTATATACAAAAATATTCAAACAAGCATTGGTGGCATAGTGGTGAGCTATCTTCCAAAATATTCAACCCTATACTAATCCCTACCAAGAAGATTAAGGCAGCCTTTCTGCATGCTGGTTTTCTTACCAGTTAAGTACTGTTTTAGAATATAGGTGGTTGGAAAGAGTACATGAAATGGAATTTGTAATGTACATATTTAAATAGAAAAAGATTTTTAATAGGTATGTAAAATATTGCACTCATTGTAAAAAGCTACTTAACAGTTTCCTCGTAGACGAAATTACCTTCAAAATTCAAATTGACTTTAATTTTAATATAGGTGTTTCCTTGAAGTAGAAACCCCAAAAATTTCAGTTAATATTCTAATAATTTGTGTGGTGACTACAGCATTTCAATGTAAAGAAATATCAATTTTCTTTCACTGCTCATGGTAGTAACTTTTGACCACAAAGGGTGCATTTGGATCGATAGTAACCAATTCCAATCACGCCTTTCCTTACAGATGGCTGAGACGGAAACGCATAGAGAAACTAGCAGAGCAGCAAGCTGTCAAGGAGAGAAGCAGGCAGCTCCGACTAGAGGCAAGGCGTTCTAAACAGTTACAGAACCAGCTTTATACTGTGGCAGAAGCCAAAGCTTTTCGTTTTACTGACCATTAAAACTTAGGCATCTATTAAATACGTCATTTGGCAGCTGCTGTCCCTCAAAAATTTTTTATCATTTCTTATGATCTGTGTTTTTTTTTAATTATGGAAGTGGTGTTTACCTTTGGTGTTGTAAACTATGAATTTATCTTTTTAAAAAATACAAAAATGAAATAAATGTTTTCTTTTACTGTGTTGTAATGTGTTGCGCCATCTCTTAGTCTGTTTAGCAACTGAACAACAAATGAACCGTACATTGCTAGCTGTCCATAAGAAATGGATGATTTCTATCCCATACTTCCTGGTAATAACAGTTTCTATCAATTAAAAAAATTGCAATAGACTGTTTCATAAAACAGGAGGAGGTGCATCTTAAACATGCCTAATTCGTGACCTTATATTAACAAAATTCTACTTAGGTCAAACATTGAATTTGAATAGTTGTAGCCAGCAAAGGGTAAGTAAGGTAGACCTACTCCACCTTTAGTTCTGTTTTTCTCTCTCCATCACACACAACGTGATAGCAACAATAATACACAGTACTACTTTAGGTATGTTACAAAACGTATCCAACTTTTATAGTGTATTTATAATGTACCTAGTATTGTAAATGGTTTGCACAGTTTTATATAATCCTTATTAAAAAAAAAAAAACTACTGCCATCAAGTTGATTTCAACGCATAGTGATCTTAAATGAGGGTTTAAAGGTTGTGAATCTATATAGGAGAGGAAAGCCCCATTTTTCTCCCTTAGAGCATCTAGTGGGTTTGTACAGCTGACCATGTGGGTAGCAGTCCAATGTTTAACCCACTCCATGACCATGGATCCTATAACCCTTATAGCAACTGTATAATCTTCATTTTGCAGATGAGAAAAAGTCTTGGGAGATGACAAAATCTCTCAAGGAGATCTTGATCTGTATGCTTACAAAATCCATTTTCTTAGCTGTCTTATAAAGTGTACATACCTTGATAAACCTGTCAAATACTTAAATCTATATAAATACGATAAAGGCAGGAACCCAATGCAAAGAGGAACATTACCCTTGATACATGTCAGAGCCTGTCATGGGTGAAGAACAAAGGGAAACGTGTGATGGAGGGTGAACAGTCGCTTTAGGAATTCTGTTAAGAAGAGATTCAAAAGGAAAATGTTCTTTACTGTGTATTTGTGCCTTAATCACTTTGACCCTAAATTAAACAAACAACAACAAACCACACAAAGCTATTTATGCATGTGTCAACTTCTATAGCACTTTGAGCACATGACTGGGCAATTTAACAGTTCACTATTACTGATTTTGCATTGTTGCTTACAGGTGTCATGGTATTTTTCCTGATTTTATAGTAAATGCCTTAAGGATGAAATTTGATATTAAAAATACACAGTATGCAATCATTACCACAGTATGGAGTATGTATTTTCATACCTATAAAGATTCAGAAACGATTGAAGACTGTAGGACTGAACATACAGTAGATGCAGTACTCAAGTAATTGTTAATATACATTTAAAGAAGGCCTACTTTCAATTAAGGTGGCACAATTAAAGTGCCCACTAATGATAATATGAAGTGATTGCTATTTTAGTTAATAAAATATTCCATGTAGTAGATGAAATCTTCTATTTTAAAAAGAAGTGAGAAAAATCTAGCCGGGCAAAATTGGGAGCTGGAGGAAGTAGGATGTTAGACTGGGCAATGGTGTGATAGTATGAATGATGCTGTTAGGGGCCCTCGGGCAGCTCTGACCCACAGCCATACTATGAATAACAGCAGGACACTGCCCTATCCTGGGCCATCCTCAAAGTACTCCTACGCCTGGCCAGTATGATGTCCTCCTCCAGGAACTGGTCTCTCCTGACAACATGCCCAATGTACGTGAGACAAAGTCTCACCATCCTTGTTTCTTTTTTAAAAAAATATTGGGGGCTTGTCAACTCTTACCACAATCCATACATACATCCATGGTGTCAAGCACGTTTGTACATTTGTTGCCGTCATCATTCTCAAAGCATTTTCCTTCACTTGAGCTCTTGATATCAGCTCAGTTTTTGTCTCTTCCTCCCCCACCCTCCCTCCCTCACGAACCCTTGGTAATTTATAAATTACTATTTTTCATGTCTTACACTGTTCGATGTCTCCCTTCACCCACTTTTCTGTGGCCTGTCCCCCCAGGGAGGGAGTTATATGTAGATCATTGTGATCAGTTTCCCCTTCCTCCCCCACCTTCCCCTTACCCTCCTGTTATTGCTACTCTCATTATTGTTTCTGAGGGGTTTATCTATCCTGGATTACCTGCGTTTCTAGCTGTTATCTGTACCAGTGTACAGTACATCCTCTGGTCTAGCTGGATTTGAACGGTAGAATTGGGATCACGATAGTTGCCATCCTTGTTTCTAAGGAACATTCTGGCCATACTTCTTCCAAGACAGATTTTTTGTCCTTTTGGCAGTCCATGGAACTTTCAATATTTTTTGCCAGCCCCACAATTCAAATGCATCAGTGCTTCAGTCTTCCTTATTCAGTGTTCAACTTTCACATGCACATAAAGCAATGGCTTGGGTCACGCACACCTTCAAAGTCACACACTTGCTTTTCAATACTCTAAAGAGGTTTTGTGCAGCCTGCTCTTTCCATGTGCATTGATTGTAGATCTAAGTAAGACAAGATCCTTGACAACATTCTTTATTCATTTTGATGTTACCTATTGATTCAGTTGTGAGGATTTTGATAATTTTTACATTGAGTTGTAATCCATACTTAAGGTTGCAATCTTTGATCTTCAGCAGCAAGTGCTTCAAGTCCTCCTCACTTTCAGCAAACAAGTTTGTGCCATCTGCATATCTCAGGTTGTTAATAAACCTTCCTTCAATCCTGATTTTGCATTCTTCTTCATATAAGCCAGCTTCTCTGATTATTTGCTCAGCATACAGATGGAATAAGTATGTGTATTTGAAAAGGCTTTATAAAGGAGCTTCAAAGAGTTTCTGGAAAATTTCTATTTTTTAATTCCATTCCCCACTCCACCCCCAATTTTTTGAAGCCCTCTTGTATTAAAGAAGACCTGGTTGTACTGTTCTGTAAGTGTTGGACCGTTAACCACAAGTTCAGTGGTTCAAACTCACCAGCTGCTTCTTGGGAGAAAAATGAGGCTGTCTACTCCTGTAAAAATTATATTATAGCCTCAGAAGCCCTATGTAGGGTAGCTCTGAGAGCTGGAAACAACGCAATGACAATGCACTTGAGATGAGTCAATCAACTCCATAGTAGTGGGTTGGGGTGGGTATGATGGTAGGAGAGCTATAACATATGACAGAATTCAAAAGCAGGCTTCAGTGGACCTTATTTTAACCTTAATTCTTCAAGCATTCACATAACAAAATTAGCCTTTTAGGTATGTAATTCAGTGGCATTTACTTAATAAACAATTTTGTACAACCACCACTTGTGGGAAACGGAGAACCTGGAAGAATGTGTAAATGGCATATACTCTACCCTCCTGTCTACAGTGCTTGGAAAACTTACACTGCTGCGTAGAGGACGACATCCACAAGTCTCAAGATGATTGATAGGTGCCAGATGCACATATTTCTCTAGAGAACACGCTCTTCACATATGCTCCATAAAATGGTAAATTGTTTCCTACAGATGCTTGGCTGCTCACACACTCTGTTACCTCCAAAAGTATCCACTGTCTTTGTCCCTCGCTCTTTTCTTTTTAAAATCATTTTATTGCGAGCTCTTACAGATATCATAACATTCCACAGTTCAATCACAACAAGCAGTATTGTTCAAATGCTACCACAGTCAGTTTCAAGACATTTTCTTTCTTCTTGAACTCCTTGATATCAGCTCTCCTTTATTTCCTACCTACCCCCGAGCCCCCAGGAACCCTTATTTATTTAGCCACATCTTACACCATCCAATCTATCCATTCACAAACAGTTCTGTGGCTCCATCTCCTCTGGTAGGGTTATACAGTCATCATTGCTCGCAGCAACTCCTTCCCCTCCTCCCCCCATCACTTCCCACTCCCTCAGGGAGCGATGGTTCCTGTTACTGCTGTTACTGGTGCGCAAGGGCTATCTCTCTTATATATAACTATCTTAATTATACAAATGAACACATGCAAGTCTAACATGATTAATGAGGTAAAACAAATTAAAAAACCATTAATAGTAAGGGGGGGAAATATTAAAGAACTAGAGGAATGTTGTGTGTTTCGCCGATGCTGTGCTGCACACTGGATTTATCATCCTTTCCTTGTGGCCCTTCTGTGAGGGACTGCCCAATTATCTTAAAGGTGGGTTTTGGGTCTCCACTATATCCCCACCCCTCCACATTGATTTGGTTGCTTGTTTTTGAATTACTGATACCTTTTCCTGTCAATACCTCATGATCACATAGGTTAGTGTGCTTCTACCATGTGGGCCTTGTTACTTCCCTGTCAGAGGCAGTTTATTTGACTATAAGCCTTTAAGACCCCAGACACAATATCCTTTAATAGCTGGGCACCATCAGCTTTCTTCACCATCTTGGTTTATGCACCCATTTTGTCTTCAGCGATTATGTCAGGAAGTTGAGTATCATATAATGCCACATTATTAGTACAAACCATTCCTGTACTGAGGTAAGATTTCAGTAGAGACCCTAAATCCATCTGCCTCCTTGTTGCATTTGCATATATATACACATAAATATGCATATATTTAATATTTACATATATACCTACACTTTTTTCTTTCTTCTTTTCATCCTCCTGCCCCACTATCATGTTTATCCATTGTGCACCTTCCAATAATTCCTCTCAATTCTATTGATGAAACAACCAGAAAAGCTACATCCTCCTCATCATCAATTTTAGAACCCTTACTATTCTCCTGTACCCATCATTATTGGCTCACAGCTCTCCTCCCCTGCATGCTCCCCTTGCATGCCCCCAAGGACCATCTGTCCAGTCGCTGTATCCATAGGATTACCTATCCTGCTATCTTGTACAGATAAACAAACAAACACACACACACACACACACAAAGAGAAATAAAAAGAACATACAAATAGTCCTAAGTCTATCAGGATGCTGACACAAAGCAGATGAAT